CTGTCTCATGTAATCGCTCAATCAGTGTTTCAGCCGCGCAAAGATGTCAATATAATGGCTTGTAAGCAATGTCACGTAATGTCACCTCAGAAAAAAACATATTCGGTGACCATAAACTCAGTCAGATAGAAAAATAAACTGTAGAGAGGGGCATTTTGCTAAATATATGCACTATATAACATATTCATTATACATTTTACTGTTCTTCAATGTTTAATTGATGTTTGAATAAATCCATCAAGTTTTTATGGCAGCCACCGTTATGTTTATATTAAAAAAAAACAAAAACGAGTAGAAATATTATGTAATTGTAACTTTATTATTTTAAAAACTTCAATAATTTTAAATTTAATTTTATTGTGTAATTTGAACAAATCAGTCAATTTTAACCTTCAATATTATAGTAATGCATTACCAACTGACTCTCGTGTATATTTTTACAGCATTAGTTGAGAGATTTTTTTTTCCTTGAAAATTTGGCATGCACTGTACCTGATATATATCCAAAATAATCGATTAATTGGTAATCGAATCGCAAGCTTGTGAATGAGAATCGAATCGTGAAATTTGTGTCAAAACCCAGCCCTAATTATTACTGAAATCTTATTAGTAATTAGTTACACTACTGGTTACTGCAAAATGTAATATTATTACAGTAACTAGATTAAGAATAGCGCAAGAATTGGCGTTTTTCCCCAAAGAGATCATTGTAAAGGACACGTCTGTCTGTCAATCAGAGATGATTTCATTTGTCAGGTCTTCACGTGTCAATCAGCGTCTCATGATGTAAACGCAGACGTGCTTTGCTTACAGAAGCAGAAGCACTTCTTCTATCTCTTATGAATGCTTATTCAGCTTCATGTGACGATCCTTTGTTCTGTGATGTATAGAACGCCTGTTGTTTTACAGCTCGACTACAGATCGTAGTTTCACTCTTTGTTCTCGTTCTGAGTGAATTATGTTTTTATGAGTGAAGGGGAGTTCATGTAGCTGGAGTTTCTGTGTTTCCGTTTCAGCGGTGATGTAAAGGTCACAGAATTACTGTAATTATCAGGTTTTTTTTACTGGTTGTTCATGTTCTTGGACTCAGAAATGATTTTTTCTAGTGACGGTGTTCATACACCCGAAATAAATCCATGTGCAGATAATTAATCAAAATATTAACCCAACCCTATGTTTTCTCTGATAAATAGCTGCCAGTTTGATGTCACGTGAAGTCTGGGATTTCTTAAATTAAATTTTTGTAAACTTGTAATTCCGACATGGCATGAATATACTGTGAACCACTGGAACTCATTGTTAATGTACTAATATAGTATTCAGTAATATTCTGAATTAGCTTTCATTTTTATATTTTCAGTTTTGACCGTGAGGATGAGCAGTTTGCCCGGAGAAGAGAGGAGATCAGACAGCGATCAGATGAGCGGTACGTAAATCTCACATCTCAGATCAGCATGTGAGTTCAAACCTGCTGTAGATTAGGTTTTTTTGTCAATTTAATAGTAAATGTTAAAGGAATAGTTCACCCAAAAATGAACATTAGCTGAAAATATCCTCACCTTCAGGTCATCTGAGATCAGGATGAGTTTGTTTTTTCATCAGATTTGGAGAAATACTGTGGATTATTGTGATGTTTTTATCAGCTCTCGTTCTGACGGCACCCATTCACTGCAGAGCAAGTGATGCAATGCTACATTTCTCCAAATCTGATGAAGAAACAAACTCATCCTGATCTCAGATGTAAATTATAAGCAGATTTAAATTTTTGGCTAAACCATTCCTTTAATACTGCAAATACTTTGTGCATGTCGCAAGTTTTTCATTGTGAGGTTTGGTTGCATTTAATCCCGTCGTGTCACAGTTGAAGGTTTTTGTCAAGCACCTGTTGATCTGAAGCGGATTTGGTCACGTAATGAGTGTCTCAGTGCTTTCATGATTACATGTGTTGCGTGTAAATATGTCTGTAGGGCTTTCAGCAGCTGTGCTGCACTAACAAGGTCACTTCTGTGTCAGACACTCGAGGGGGAGCAGGAATCTCCTTTTGAACTCAGATAAACCGAGATCAGATATCTTTGCAGGGTCTCGGCCGATCGCGTGCGATGCATCTGATATACGAATGTGCTTATGTTCAGTATTTTACGTCTGTCACAACAAAGAACAGCCTGATGGGCTTCTATAGTGCGTATCGTGTTGAATGATGAGCACAGTGCATTCTGATGTCCTTGAACATATATGGAGAGAATATTTAGTAAATGGATATTTTTTTTTGTTTAAGAAGAATTGAAATATTGACACAGAAACAGGGTTTGTTAGCAGTGGTTAGTTCTATGATAGTTTCGTAACACTTTACAATAAGGTACCCTTTGTTAACATTAGTTAACTGCATTAGTTAACGAACTAATAATTAAAAATATTTTATTATAGCATTTATTCATCTTAGTTCATTTTAATGTCAACATTTACTTATTCATTATTAAAATCAAAAGTAAAATATCTGTTAATATTATTATTAATTAACTTTATTATGTCTATAAATTATTTATTAATGTTTTGAATTAGTTTTTATATATTTTCAGTTTTTATTTTAAATTTAGTTTTTGTATTTTTTGTTATCTTTATTGTCTATATATTATTTATAAATGTTTTGAATTAGTTTTTATATATTTTCTGTTTTTATTTTTTATTTAGTTTTAGTATTTTTTTGTCATCTTTATTATGTCTATATATTATTTATTAAGATTTTGAATTAGTTTTTTTTTATATTTTCAGTTTTTATTTACAAAAACAGAAAATATATAATTTATTTATAGTATTTTTTGTCATCTTTATTATGTCTATATATTATTTATTAATATTTTTAATTAGTTTTTATATATTTTCTGTTTTTTATTTCTGTAATTTATTTTAAATTTAGTTAGTTAACATGAGCTAACAATGATAAATACTTTTAAAACATTTATTAAACATAGTTAATTTTAAATCCAACATTAACTAATACATTTTTACAATCAAAAGTTGCATCAGTTAATATTATTAATATTAAACGTACATTATTTTTCTCTTTTAATATCCTTTGCACTCAAAAATGTGTCATATGAGTAAGTAAAATGAGTTGCGACTGGTGTTTCATGTTGATTGTGTAAATTGTACCTTTATATGCTGTTTAAATATACACTTCCATTCAAAAGTTTGGGGTCAGTAAGATTTCGTTAAATTTAAAAATATATATATTTTTTTTATTCCTCAAGGATTTATTGAATTGATCAAAAGTGACAGTTATAGACATTTATAATAAGATTTCTATTTCAAATAAATGCTGTTCTTCTGAACTTTCTATTCATCTGTGAATCCTGAAAAATAAAATGCATCACAGTTTCCACAGAAATATTGTGCAGCACAACTGTTTTCAACATTGATAATAATCAGAAATGTTTGTTGAGCAGCAAATCAGCATATTAGAATGATTTCTGAAGATCATGTGACACTGAAGACTGGAGTAATGATGCTGAAAATACAGCTTTGATCACAGGAATAAATTACAGTTTAACAGATATTCACATAGAAAGCAGCTATTCTAAATTGTAATAATATTTCACAATTTTATAGTATTTTTGATCCAAAAAATGCAGCATTGGTGAGCAGAAGAGACTTTCAAAAGCATTCAAAATCTTGCCGACCCCAAACTTTTGAACATTAGTGAAACTTAGTCTTCTAATAAAGATTAGTTTTATTCGCTGGTGATCTAAGCGTTTAGCATTCCAGTTTAATGCAGAAACCTGATCTGTAACAGATACACGTGTAAAACACTAGCCGGTGGAGTTATTGTTGTGCTGCTTTGTTCAGGATTGTGGAAGCAGCAACAGATGGCTAACAGCTCCAGTGATTGTTCACAGATCAGCTGCTCATAAAGCTCCGGCTGATTTATTTGGTATGAAGCGGCCGCAGTTCGTCTGGAGGCTCGGCCCATCTTCATTGTGTGCTGTAGAGAGGATGAATGATGCACGGCGAGCGATTGGTGTCGTTCAGCGCCGCTCGTATGTCACACACCCATAAAACACTGCTGCTCGTATTTACGACGAGCCTGTGAAGGAATGGAGGGCCTTAAACAAAGACATGAACTCACTGTGAATCATCTACTGCCGCCCATGTGCTGCTCTTCAGGACTTGGCCAGTTTTCAGTTGAGCAGCTTTGGTTCCGGAAATTGAAACCAGGCTATGAGTTTGATTTGTTCTTCTTGTACTGGTTTTACAGGATTCAGAATTTGTATTGGGCAAAACATTAGAATTCTGAGAAAAAAAATCAGAAATGCAAGATATAAAAAGCAAAACTCTACGAAAATAGTCAGAATTGTGAGATGTAAATGTAAAATTCTACGAAAAAAATCAGAATTGTGAGATGTAAACGCAAAACTCTACGAAAATAGTCAGAATTGTGAGATGTAAATGCAAAACTCTACGAAAATAGTCAGAATTGTGAGATGTAAATGCAAAACTCTACGAAAATAGTCAGAATTGCGAGATGTAAACGCAAAACTCTACGAAAATAGTCAGAATTGTGAGATGTAAACACAAAACTCTACGAAAATAGTCAGAATTGCGAGATGTAAATGCAAAACTCTACGAAAATAGTCAGAATTGCGAGATGTAAATGTAAAATTCTACAAAAATACGAGATGTAAATGTAAAATTCTATGAAAATAGTCAGAATTGTGAGATGTAAACGCAAAACTCTACGAAAATAGTCAGAATTGTGAGATGTAAACGCAAAACTCTTCGAAAATAGTCAGAATTGTGAGATGTAAAAACAAAACTCCACGAAATTAGTCAGAATTGTGTGATGTAAACGCAAAACTCTTCGAAAATAGTCAGAATTGTGAGATGTAAAAACAAAACTCTTCGAAAAAGTCAGAATTGCGAGATGTAAGCGCAAAACTCTTAGAAAAAGTCAGAATTGCGAGATGTAAATGCAAAACTATGAAAAAAGTCAGAATTGCGAGATGTAAATGTAAAACTCTACGAAAATACTCAGAATTGCGAGATGCAAACGCAAAACTCTACGAAAATAGTCAGAATTGCGAGATGTAAACGCAAAACTCTACGAAAAAAGTCAGAATTGTGAGATGTAAACGCAAAACTCTACGAAAAAGTCAGAATTATGAGAAAAAAGTCAGAATTGCAAGATGTAAACGCAAAACTCTACGAAAAAGTCAGAATTATGAGAAAAAGTCAGAATTGCGAGATGTAAATGCAAAACTCCACGAAAAAAGTCAGAATTGTGAGAAAAAGTCAGAATTGCGAGATGTAAACACAAAGATCTAAGAAAAAATTCAGATTTGTGAGAAAAAAGTCAGAATTGTGAGAAAAAAGTCAGTGTAACACCGTTCGTAGGTCGGGAAGAAGGAGGCGGATACTCCACCGGCCTCGCTCTGTTCCCACGGCTCTCGGCCCCACCCCACTCGTCACAGTCAGATTTGTGGGAAAAAAGTCAGAATTATGAGCTGTAAATGCAAAACTATGAAAAAAAATCTGAATTGTGAGATAAAAATCAGAAATGCAAGATATATTTTTCACTCTTTTTTCAACATGAATAATATTAACAAAATATAAACACTATAATTATAAACAGTCGCTCAATCATTGTATTATTTCATGCATGGTCACATAATCTGTCCATCAGTCTAATTTACCTAGTTTCTTCCAAGTCTCTGCAAAAAAATACAGCTCAAATGATGCAAATGGCACAGAAATTCAATATTTTGTTTCAAAAATCTATATAATCCCGTCCAGTCTGTAAAAAGCCGTCACTCATCTCTGGTTACTGTCTGTTGCAGGAAGGCGGAGAGGAAGGGGAAACATGATGAAATCCGCAAGAAGTATGGTAAGTCACTTCAGTCCTGTGCTTCTGTCATTAATATTCACAAGAGTTTAGTCACATCTACTCATTATGACTCTTTTCTTCATTTTAGAGAAATAGTAGTGTCATAAAAGCTATTAAATAACACCTATAACTAGGAATGATATAGTGACTAAAACCTGGTAAACAATCTTTGTTTTCTATGTGAATATCTGTAAAAATTTAATTTATTTCTGTGATCAAAGCTGTATTTTCAGCATCATTACTCCAGTCTTCAGTGTCACATGATCTTCAGAAATCAGTATAATGTGCTGATTTGCTGCTCAAGAAACATTTCTAATTATTATCAATGTTGAAAACAGTCGTGCTGCTCAATATTTTTGTGGAAACCGTGATGCATTTTATTTTTCAGGATTCTTTGATGAACAGACAGTTCAAACGAACAGCATTTATTAGAAACATATATTTCCTCAGCGACCAGCACGGATCAGCTCTAGGCATGACGAAGCAGATATCGTCCTCTTTTGGAAGACCAAACAAAGTAGTTTCGCTTCGAATCACACAGCGCCTTCACAACATGGCGGCGGCAGCAACAATACTACAGCAA